AGTGCTGCGAGCTCACAGCATTGCTTATGGAAGTCTTGTTTGTTTGTTTTTAAATATTATGGAAGAAAGAAGGTCTTTCAGAATTGGTTTCTCAAAAACAAAATCAAGGTTAGATGCTTAAAATATTTGATCATTTTTCAACAGTGATGCCAATCAGAGAGAATTTGCAAGGATCAGAGAGTTTTTAAGTACAGGAAAAATATTGGGGAATAAAATTATAAATGTTTTGGAATTATTATGGCAGGCTTTTCTGAATTAGGGAATGATGGAGGAAACACTTTTCATTTACTATTTTCTGCATTTAATTGTTTTCTCTTAATTGGAAAAGGGTATTTTGTAAAAATGCAGTTTTGCAAAAATGTAAATGATTATATAAGCCATGGTTCTTAACTGGCTCTGCCCCCCACCCCCACCCTGGAACATTAGGTAATTAATTGTCTGGATATATTTTTGGTTGTCACAACTCGGGGGGAGGGAGAGGGGAAGAAGGGGGTTGGGCAGGTACACTACTGGCATCTAGTGGGTAGAGACCAAGGAGGTTGCTAAACATCCTACAATGCACAGGATGGCCTCACAACGAAGACTCCTCCGGCCCAAATGTCCATAGCTGAGGCTGAGAAACTTCAGCCAAAGCTAGTGTTACCGATCTGGTTAAAAAGTCTTTCATAATCAACATCTCAGCTGTTTGTCAGCAAAGGGATGCTGCTATAACAATGCAAGAGCTCTACAAATGTATTTTCTCAGCTTCCTACACACTTCCTTTCATACTTGTGAGCTCTGCTCACACAATAGGAGTGGCCCCTTTAATTTATAGAGACGTGAGTGTGAATTTATTCCTAGGCTAATCCACCACCAAAATTATCAAAAACTTGAATGTGAAACAACAGAGCCACTGAGGCTTCATTGTATGAAATGATCTACCTTTTAGCTAAGCCTCTCCTGACCTTCCACACCAATGACCTGCACAGACGACTGGTAGGGCAGCCATCCTAACGTCACGGCACAGGAAACAACTTTGTTAGATGTACTGGATTTCAAACACAACTAAGCTCTACTTCAGCCTGATACCCTTTGGTACATGAAGTTTGAATTAGAAAATGTCTTTCACCCAGCCGGGGTGGCTCAGTGGTTGAGCATCGACCTATGAACCAGGAGGTCACAGTTTGATTCCAGGTCTGAGCACATGCCCAGGTTGCAGGCGGGTTCTCCCTCATCATTGATGTTTCTATCTCTCTCTCTCCCTCTCCCTTCCTCTCTGAAATATATATATATATATTTAAAAACAAAACAAAACAGAAAACCCACATTACGCTAACTGAAAGACGCCAGACACAAAGGACACATGCTGTATGACTCTATTTACATGCAATGCCCAGAACAGGCAAATCTATGGGACAGAAAGCAGTGTCTCCTAATTGGGGGTTGACGACTAGGGAACTGGGACTTCTTTTTGGGGTGATGAAGATGTTCTAAAGGTAATTGTGGTGACGAAGGCACAATTCTCTACAGTAAAAGCCAGTGAACTGTATACTTTAAGTGGGTGAGTTGCACGATATGTGAATTATATCTCAATAAACCTATTTAAAACAAAGTCACAGTTCATTACCTTTGCAGGAACTTTTTGAAGATGCGCCGATAGGCATAACCAGCTCTTCTCACTCGGATGTTCTCTTTCAGACCCAGGTATTCTACTTGGTGCTTTACCCTATAAAGGAGACAGTGGGGGCAGGGCATCACTGAATAATTCTTTCACCCGCTCTCCTACCCACCAGCCCCACCACCCCCACATCTCAGATGCAGGGAAACATACTAAAAAGACGACAGCTTACAGTGTTCAAGTCTGAGCTGACCCTCAGGCTATAGAATATTAATTTAAAAATATTTTGTTATGAATTACAGAGGAGACATTACCTATCTATTTTAAAAGACAGCAAGGCAAAAAGCCATATACCTATCACACAGATTGTGAACAAAAATATGTTTTTCAAAAGACGAAAGGAAAGAACTTGAATTAAATGCCACTAGAGCTGTCTTTGTTATCAACCTTAAGTTTGATAGTGACTCTATAGGTAATGAGATTACCCTTCTAGGTTTTTAAAATATGAGGCCAGATAGGGCATATAAAACTATTAATTTCAAATGTCTAAGTTAAAAATGTTCTAAAAAGTACGTAAATTATACTTTTAGTTCCGTTTTGTAATAGCGAAGCCCTGGCAGTGTATTTTGGAAACGAGTGCAGGGCAGTACTAGGTGGATGCTCTGACCCAGGGTCTTTACACCAGAGATAGGCCCCGTGCCCGTCTCTGCACCTGGAGTCTGCTTCAGTGGCCCGGGGTCTGGGTGGTGCAGGAGCATGGGAACTGTGACCCCTCCCGCCCCAAAGAGCAAAGTGTCCTGAAGCCGAGGGAAGATCCTGGACACTAGCTCCTGGTGGTCCCCTCTGGGGAGACAAATAGGGCCTTTGCTGAAGAGTGTGCGGACTGGTTTAATACAGACACTTCGAAATGTGAAAATGAGGACTAAAAAGTAAATTTCCTCTTTCTTTTGAGATGAATGACAGAATTGTGCTATGGCATGGAGGCAACTCCCATTTCCCCCATTTAGTACATTTGGGCAGCACTGAGGTGAAGGGAATGGGCCCCTCACGATCTGCTGTGCAGAAAGGGCAGCGAGCAGCATGCTCCTTGCGACTTCACATCGGTTCCCCACAGCTGTCTCCTCAGCAAGGCTCTCATGAAACCCACCATTTCCAACACAGCCTCGCACCCACTACTGGTATGTGCCCCTATGCACCATGCTATGCAAGGCGCCAGCGAGGGTTCCTGCTGGAGACCTCACGGATGACACAGTGGTCAAGAGCCAGGTACACCCCTGCCACAGTGCGAGTCCTCTGTGCCTCAGTTTCCACTTCTGTAAGATGGGAATAGTGATGTTGGTTCTTGCTTCCTATGGGGTACATTCCATGAGCACGCAGCCAGCTCCTGGCAGGAGCCAGAAAAGCTGTTGTTATGTTAATGGAGTCCCAGCGACCAGACCACACGTAAACCAGAACAGGAGAGTGGAGGAAGAAATGAAGTTTTCATAGTGAGTGCATTCTCAGAAGTGGTGACGTGTGCCGGGGCCTGGAAGGCTGAGCTGAATTTATCAGGTAGAGGAGGGAAAGGCAGTGAAAACAAAGGCACAAAGATGGAAAGACCTGGGTCCTGGAGTGGGGAGAGAGGAGGTGGGGAAATGAAGCCGGAAGAGGGTGGAGCCTTGGTTGCCCTGGGAAGGGTGAGCCACACAGTGAGGGATGTTTCAAATGCCTCATGTCTTACTTGAATCAGCATCCAGGAATGTCAGCCCCTTTAAGAAATAATTAACTTTAAAAATCCCTTTATATAAAGAGTTAATATCCACATTTGATTGGTGACACATATCTGCTTAAGGGGAAGGAATCTGATTCAGGAAAGTAATTTTCCTTTTTCCCATGCTCCGAACCTGAAAGTCACCCCTGGCCTTTCCTGCACCGAGTAAAACACACAGAGGCTGCCGGTGAGAGATAGTTGCTCACTTTAAGTACTTTTCATAAATATGGGTGTCATGCCCGGCTGGTCTGGCTCAGTGGTTGGGTGTTGACCCATACGCCCAGGCCGGTTCAATTCCCAGTCAGGGCACATGCCCAGGTTGCAGGCTTGATCCCCAGTAGGGGGCGTGCAGGAGGCAGCCAATCCATGTTTCTCCCTTCCTCTTTCTGAAATCAATAAACACATATTAAAAAAAAAAATCTTAAAAAAAAATATTGGCATCACCCCAAGCTTCTGAGGCAGGGAATGCATCGCCCATTGATTCAAGTAGAAACATGGATCACTGCAAGTTAAACATGGTTTCCTTCCTTATAACTTCCATACCAGGAAATTTCTCAGAGACATTTTCTCTAACAGAACAAGCAGTTCAGCAAATTTTGTAATGTTTAAAATGTCATCATGTTAAAACCTTGTGTCCTTCATTTTAACTTCCATCACCAGGAAATTTCTCATAGAAATTTTCTCCAATACAATCAGTTTCGGAAATTTTGTAATGCTTAAGATTTCATGTAATCAAAGCATCCGACTTCATTTTTGCATATCCTGGGATGCTGTCGCCTCCCCAGTAAACACCAGCCCGGTTGCCAATGCCCACTTGTCCCTTCGTTGTGCTAGCTCCTCCGTCAGGGAGGTAGGGCAGTCCTCTTCCTGAATGTCTTTGGCCATTAACACAAGTAAGTCAAGGCCTGAGAACCCTGCTAGGACAGCAATTCAGAATCCAGGGCAGGCAACTTTGCAAGAGCCAAACAAAAACACATTTGCAACAGGAGGAGAAAAATAAACCACACCCCATACACTTGTGGAATGAGTAATCCTGTGCACCAACCCAGGGCTTCGACTGACCATGTCATTTCCACACACTGCCCTTTCCTGGGCCCCCGCATGTCCCCCTCACGGATGAAGTGAAACCATCCGTCACACACTAAACCTGACCCGAGATGGGGGGACCCCAGGACGCAGTCCTAGTGAAAATATAAATCAGCACCTGACCAACAAATACTTCAGAGTCCTTAAAACCAGTTGACATGAATGTATGTCATGAAGTTCTTTGCGGCAAGTCGAATACGGGGTGTGATTTAAAAAACCCAGCATGAGGAAGTTCTATGAGGATTTATTGAGTAAATATACCACTGTCCTAACTTCTCCATTTTCTGATATTCCAATGAATCAGTTTGGATTTCACGAGACAGTAGCATCAGGGTTGGGGAACCTCCAACCAGTAGCTATTGCAAAATCTCTATATTAGAGGGACTTTCAGCAGAGGGACTTAAAGCTCTACGACTTCTACGTGTGGGGAAGGGGGTGGTGTGCTGGAGAGGTATTGCATTTGCAGGGTGAGTGAGATTATGATTCTGTTTAAGATTATGTTTGTTGGGAAGAGCTGGAGAAGGGAAGCCGGATGAAATCTGAAGTGGGGGGATGGGTGGACTAAAGCACCCTTTAGTCTTACCTCTAGACTTGCATAATTTATTTCTGAGGTTGCCTATGACACCACACTTCTACCGTGTGTACATGTGCATGAGTGGGTGTGTATGCGGGTAAACATGACGGGGAGCATAGGACTGACACAGGGACAGACAGAGGCAGGCGGGCGGACACGGGGAACAGACCTGGGAGCGTTCACCTGTCAGACCGAAGGAGATCCCATTCTGATCGACCCTTAGTTTAAAGAGGAAGAAACTGAGGACTGAGATTAAGTGTCTCACTTAGGCAGCAGGCCAGCACCAGGACACAGTTCTTCAAAATCCCAGCCCAGGCCTTGGCTCCAGACCAGCTGTCCTCCAAGTATGATGCCGGCCCATCATCACCAGCATCACCTGGGAGCTCCTTAAAAATGCACGTTCTTGGACTCCATAAAGGAAGCCAGTCCTGAGTCTCCCAGAGCTGAGCAGGGCTGTGGAGGGCAGGACACTGTGGGCACCACTCACTCACAGGGTCACCAGGAGTCAGAGCCGACTCAGTGGCACGTAACGCACACAAAGGATTAAGTGTTATCTGTCTGCTGTGGGCTAGAAAGGGTCTTGCTGGCAGGGTGGGAAATGGACCTACACCCCCCTCTCAGAGGAGGTAATTAGCAGCTGTGACTTTTCATCCTGGTCTTCCTGTTCACGTTTAACTTTAAGTCACTCGATACCTAAGAGTCTATCTACTTTTTTCCTAAGAGAGTAAAAAAAAAGGTATGCCCTAGACAAGGGACATGATTATCTGAGGACAATGGTGGGGTCCTCTGCAGTCCAAGCCACTCACAAGGTCTCTCCCCAGTTCTGCCTCCCATGTTCCTACGGACATGGGGTCAGGCCTCTTGGGACTGTGTGCCTGGGTCCCCCGGGTGGATGCAAAAACTATTCTCTGGTGATTTTCCTACTCAGCACCCTGATTCCAGCCCTCACAGGCCACGCCCCCAAATGCCAGTTGTGGGCCGGTGAGTGAGTGGCTTTCTCAGAAGTCAGGCAGGACTGGGCTCACTACATCCTTGTGCTCCACGTGTCTCCTTCGGGCGTGCTCCCTCCCAGGGTCACTCTGCCCATCAGCACAGTCGGGGGGAATGACAGGAGCTGGAGCGTGTCCCCAGCATCCTCATGAGCCACAGTAAACGAGGGGTGGCTTTTTAACCAGCTGTTTGGACCTTCACTTTCAACCCCGAGCTCAGCATTCTAGGCCACATCCTGTGGGTGCCGATGAGGAGCCGAGTTACTAGGAATGTCTACACAGAGCCTCAGGCTAATTTTAAAACCATCCTGACTCTGCGGTATGAAGGGTGTTTTTTTTTTTTCCATCTGCCCCCACACTAGCCAAGATAAACATTATAAATGGCTAATTCTGAACCGAAAGGCACTGCTAACATTTTAGGAAAAGGCAAGGAGGGGGAAAAAAAATATATATATATATATATATATAGTCTTTGTCCTGAAAAGTTAAAGACACAGGACATGAAACACATCTGATGGCAGTTTAAACGGCTCTGCCTCTGGCGGAGGACAAGAGGGAATGTGCCGGGGCCCCGGAAGCTGGCTGGGCCCTCGGCATCCACCGCCTTCACATACCTGCTTTCCTCCCAGTCCCTGGGCTTCTTGGTTTCGTTTGGTTTTATGCAGCGGATGTAGTGAGGTGTACATTTCATCAGGGTGCTCACAAGGTCATTGGCTTGTTTCTAGGAAGGAAGAATAACATCAGTTAGAAACTTGGGACCTTCTCTGAAGCAGACCAGCTTTCAAAGGAGACCCGTGAAACTGGAGTGTGGAAATATATAGCTAGAAATTAATCTTCATGACAATCTGTTCATTAGGCTTAACTCAGGTCCACCACATGTTCTTAAAGCTCTACTGACTTTTACGATGATTTTAACTCTCAAATGGGTTTGAAATTAGAAGTTTGAAAGCAACGAGGCCTTTTTAGTACAGTTAATAAAACCAACCAACCAAACAAAAATCTTCACATACAATTTAAAAAATGAGAAACAAGGAAGCATGCCAGTTATTAACAAATTAAGTTAATTTTACAAGTATAGCACATTGTCTTCAATTTGGGGGGGGGGGCGGTGGAGAGGCAAGTTATTTGCAAGGATTAATCATCAAAACCCCCCTGTACGTTCTTTTCTGGCAACACAACCGATAAAGCATCACCTAGTAAGGTGATGGAAATTCATAGTGAACGGTGTGAGATCCACAAAATCCAAGAATTTAGAAACCTTTTATATGCTGTTCCACTCACTGCTTCCTCAGCACGTCCTTTGACAACCCTGCAGCCTCTGTGCCCTTTCAGTCTGCGAGGTAACTTCCACCTTCACACAGCTCAGAGGGTCAACACGAAGGCGTCTCTCACCGCCCTCGCATTGGGGTACCCAGCGGAACTGGGTTTAAGCAGAAAAAGCCACATAAAGCTGAAATTGCTGGTAAAGTATTTCAAGTCATAAGTATCATGACTATAGTTTGAAGACATAGGAGCAGAGCTCACATCAGCATCCACACCACCGGCTGAGCACGCCCTGTGGGTCCCAGGACCGGGCAGGCATGCAAATTCCCCCTGCAGGCAACTCAGTGTGAAGAGAGAAAACCTCTGAAGGGAACTAGAGAAAAGGGATCTCCGGAGCCAGAAAACCATTACAGTCAGCAGAAGGGATGTGCCTGCAGTACACCACCCTCTCTCACAATTAGGGCTTTTCTGTTTTCATGGGTCCGGGAAATCTGAAACCCTTGAGAAAAGCTCTTGGGTGTATTCAAAGCAAGATGTTTGCTGCCGAACCAAGCTCTCTGTTTAGATGAGCGGAGTACAGCATTCTGCGCAGTGCTGGGACACGGGCAAAGCTGCAGAGGTCACATGACCAAGGCCAAGCCCTATGAGGCAAAGTGAGCGGCCTCTGATCTTTGTTGACACAGATAGAACTTGAGAACAGAGCTGACGACATTTGCAACAGATAAGGTGAAGCTGGGGAGGGACTGCTTATAGCAACGCTTTTTTTTTAAGTCCCCAAACTCTTTAATTTTGATTTTTTAAAAAAATTTTTACTTAATTAAAACTTTTTAATTTCCAAAAATAGCTTGGCAGACTCTTTAGTCCTAAGCATTTAATGGCTGATATCTTCTTTGCACTGTAGCATAAGAAAACACAGGGGCAAGTGTGACTAAGTTTCTGTGCCACCTGACATAGTTCTCTCTAGCTCAAAATAGCAATAACTGAATATGCATCATGGGCTAGAGCTAGACACATGGATTTTCTCATTCATGCCTCACCATTCTAAGAGGCAGCCTCTATTATTATTATTCCCATTTTTTAGAGGCGAAAGTGGGGCCTTAAATAAAGTATTGCTCCAAATGACACAATTAGTAAGCAACAGAGTTGAGGCTTGAACCCGAGTCTGTGAGCTACCAAGTCTGATTCTTAACCACAATGCGACCCGGCCTCCCTGAGGAAGATACGGGGGAATTCAGTGCGATGTGAAAGGAATTAAGCCAGGATCAGACAGAGCCTTTAGGCTGGGGGATACCCCATTTTAGCAAACAGGAATGCATCTTATCTTAACCATTGCAATTATCCTGAATCTAGCTGTGAGTCAACCTCAGATGCCTCTGAAGTGGTTAGGGGGAAGCAGGAACTGGATTGACCCTGACTCCAGGCAAGAAGAGTCCAGGAGTCCATGAACTACCAAAGGCACTTGCCCAATAGAAGCTCGAGTCAAAATCTGCAGGCAGGGCAGTGAGAAGAGGCTTATGGCAAAAGCTCCTTGTGTACCCTCAGCACAGATGATTAGCAAGCCTGAGTTGGGGTCCTTGCTTTGGGATTTGCAAGCTACAGGACAGATCCCTAAGTTTCTCTGGGCCTCGGTTTCCCCATCTATACACTAAGTAGGCTGCACTTGAAGAGCTCTGATACCTTAATCGAAAGGTTGGAATAGGTGGTAAAAGTCAACCAGTCCAATCACCGCATGGTGCTTGCATCCGTCACATCGGCGCCTTTAGAGGCCGAGTGTCACTTAGACACAGCTGCGGTCCAGTCCACTCCGCAGCTCTGAGCTCGAGTCCATTTCCCTATGGCATCAGCCTTTGGCTCTCATTTCAAAGTTGGTCACTTCCAGCCACGAGGGAGAATTTAGTGAAGCCTCAGCGT